TTCACATGGTCTGCTGGGAAGGACAGCGGGTTGGCCCTCGACAGCCCAGAGCCCTCGGACGCACGATGACGCTGGGGCCTTCCCCGCCGAGCGTCCACAGGCCCCGTCCACGGGCCCCCGCTCAGTGTCATCACCCCGATGAAATCCTTAACGTTATCCCTGGATGTGTCGCACGTGAGGTCAATAGGACAACAGCGTGCGTGTGAACAGATACACGCAACACACATGTCCACCCGTGTTCCTGGCCCCCCGTTCACATATAGCACTGGGGGTGCCCTGTGAGCACAGGATTCCAGGGGCCCCCATGGTGGGAGGCCAGTGAGACTCAAAGCGAGCACAGGTTTAAAAGTCTGAATCGTAACGAAGCACATGCGTTAGGGGACGAAGGGCAGGTCGTGTGACCTGGAAACCCCAGCGCTGTACTCACGGCCACCACCCCGATCGCGGCCCTCCTGCCCGGCTGGTTCTCCTCGGCGAAGTCCACCAGCCAGGAGGGGCCTTGCAGGGTGGGGCATCCCCGCCCACCGGGAGCCGGTGCTTCTGAGGTGAGACCCACAGGGCACACAGAGGACAAGTGCCCTGGACTGCTCTACGCCCTGTGAGGCGAGGCCTCCACTGCTGGCCCAGAAACAGTTTGGGCTTCCTCCCGGCCTGCATCCATCTGGAACGTTCCTCCAGATGCAGAGAAAGGGAGGGAGGCCAAGGAGGAAGGGGGGTTGAGGAGCTCTCTGAAGGCATCACAGTCCTTTATTAAAACACAGGGTGACAGCACAAAAACTACTTCAACTCCTATAAAAATGCCAAGCTTCCCTCGCTTCCGAATAGACTCCCAAGTCCAGATTCCAGGCCTGGGTCCTGAGGCCAGGCAGCACCTAAGGGAGACATCCCCTTACGGGTACCACGGGCAGCAACCCCAGGTCCCCGAGAAAGGGCGGGCCCTCTACAGGTTCCCAGGAAACCTGGAGCTCCCTCAAACACAAGCCGATGCTCCAAGATTAAAGGTTACCTACAAATGACCACCCTTCAGACGCAGGTCAGGGCACAGCAGGGGCCTTTTGCAGTCACAATTGGCTGCATCCGTCCAGGCACTTACTTCATTTTTTAAAACCCACAGTGCCCCTAATGAGGGTGTAAAAAAGTCCTGTTGCTCCAGAAGTGAGGCTTCTGCATGAGCCTGACTGCCTGGCGGCCAGGTGGAAGGTGCTCGGGGCCGGAGCTCACTGGCCAGTGCCCGGTGCCGGGCCTCGCAAGTGACTTAAATGCACTGCGCATCCTTCCACACGGGACAGCACGGCCCGAGAGCAGCGTGTGGCCAGCTGGAGCCACGCCAGTAACAGGCCACCTTCCCTGGGTCCCTGAGTGTCCTTGGCGCTGACGGAACACACGTCTTCTGAATCTGAACATCTGCAGATATCGATGATACGCGAAAAAAGCCCCCAAGATTCTGAAACCAGAGTGGGGACACTGATTATACGAACTTGTCTTTAAAACTGCTATTCTGCTGAATGAGGCAGCAATAAGTTACTGCATCTTCTATCCACTCCTAGAACTCAACATCTGAAACATGTATACTAAAATGAATTTACCTGCAAAAAACCAAATCACTTTTATTTAGAAAAAAAAAAGGCTTCTACTTTAGTAACAAGTACAATTGTCAAATTTAAGAAAACCGGAAAACTGGTTTTAATTAAAAAATCACATCGGAAACCGTGTTCGAATTTCAGCCACCAGCTTGTAAGCTCTCCTTTGCTGAGGGATGGGTCGCGCTGATGCAGCTGTCCCGTCAGGCAGGCCGATCGCCTAGGCCAAGGGCTTCGAACGCACTGCGGTTGGGTTTCAGAGGTCAGTTAAACTTCCTGCAGGACCAGAATGCCGCTGTCTTTAAAAGAAGTTATTAAAATGAGGTTTTTTAATTGTAAATATGCTATTTTAAAAAATGAGTCTCAACTTTAAACTCAATAGGATTAAATACACATTTTTGTAGATTTCAAATGGAAGATCGTTTTTAGCTCCTTCTTGAACAAGTTAATGATCAGTCAGGATGGACACGGCCTGGAGTTAGTGACAGAGGCCAAGAGGGGTGCGGCCGGGCAAGGGCCACTGTCCCACAGAGCAACACAAGGTCTGAGGAGCCCGCCATCTTGCTGTCTCCACAAGGCTGTTTACACCGGTGAAGCAAGTTGCAACACATCTACCTACTAGGCCGTCTTCAAATCCGTCCTGGACTTTAGAAAGGACACAGGTCGTGAGGGGGAGGGTTAAGTGCCCTCCCCGATGCCCGCGGAGGGACAGACTGCAGTCAGAGCCACCGCAGGCAGGAAGGGAAGGCGTCAAGTTGGTGATCCCCACTCCTGGGGGGACAGCCCCATGGGGGGGGGCGGGGAGGACATAGACGGGTTGGAGGGTCACGATCCTGAACAGAGACCCTGCTCCGGCCAGACAGCTGTGCCCCGGAACAAACGCTCACGTCCTCGAGCCCCCGCCCGCACACAATCCCAACTCCTTTCACTGGATTTATCTTTTCTTTCCCTTTTTGGTTACCAGGCAAACTCAGAGTTTAAAGAGTCCACTCCTGCAGGCATTTTCCCCAGGTGGATACCGACTCCCTAAGAATCCGTCCCTCATCCCGCCAAGGCCGTGACCTCCAGGCTGGACGCCCAAGCACAGGGACACCCGCCCCTCGTCTGAGGCCTTCCTGGCCCACGGGCCACCTTCCGGAAGGGCGATCCTGGGTGGGAGGTTGAGGTTTGGTTCCCAGGGGTTAACAGACACAGTCATGATGGCGGTGGTCCCCATTTGTCCTGGCATCTTGCAGACATAACTGCTGGCTCCACAGGCCCTCGGGATGCCACCGCGAGCTCCATTTCTCCAGGAAGTCCCAGCACAGGAGGCTGCAGACGTCAGCAGCTGGCAGAGCCGACGCGCAGAGGGCCCGTTCCCAGGGTAGGGCACTGCTTCTCAGACCTACAGTGAGGCTCAGCCCCCGTCCACAAGTGGACCCCAACGCCCCAAACATGCAAGCTCACTAGAACCCTCCCGCAGCACCTACCTGAAAGTCCCCTCCCACCCCAAGTCCCAACAGAGCTCAGACCTGGGCGAAGGCAGATGATACGCTGTCAGCTTTCACGGCTGACAGGTTCTCTAGTGCTGCGAACAGGATTTGTTGATCAGAGAGAATATTTCAATTTTGACAAAATGTGACTGTGGGGGCAAGTTCAACTTTGTCAGAAAATTTGATTGAGGATCGCCAACAGGACCCAAGAATCGCCCGTGTCACTCCTAAAACACACGGAATGAAGCCGGTCAGCGTGGCTGCCAGCGTGGCCGTCAACGTACACGGAGAGCTCTGACCGTCCCGACGTCCAGCCAGAAACACGCGTGAAACAGAAGGCTGCTCGCCGTCACTCCCACACACCTGGAGTCCAGGGGCCAATGACGAAGAGAACTAAGAGAAAGGTGGATACACGCATGCTTGACACGGACAACCCCAACTCCGAACACGCACCCCCGACAACTCCGAACACGCACC